TATATATATACTGTTTACAAGCTGTATTTCCCCCTTTTTTAATTGTCATCCCCTCAGATCATGAGTTTGTCATGACCGTTTTTTCCCGCAATTTCGTATTTTTCTGCACAGTATCTTACTTTTGTTTTCATGTTTTATCTAATTTCATCTTGATAGTCCGGTACAGTAATTGTTATTCTTATTTTTATTTTGATCTCTGTTTTATTTTTTATTGTTACTGTCTTTATTATTGCTACAGTTGATACATAGCAATATACTGTTTCCATGGGTTGATGTATGCATCTGCTGCTGCTATTACACCTGAATTTCCCCGAATGGGACAATAAAGTCTGTTTCTATTCTATTCTAGTCAAAAACAAACAGAAAATAAATAAAAAGACCTGAGCTCAGGTTTTTAAAGCAGTTTTTAAAATGTGTAAAATCCACCTCAAGCCTTGATTTTGTGTAACATCSTGAGTTCTGGTTGCTTTTCCATGTTAAATCGGACTGACCCAACCAGTGTTGCATCATGTGTTGTGACTGTGGGACACTACATGTGTCTGTAGGGCTGTGCGGTGAAGCGGGCTGTGGGGCGTGCCGCGCCGCTCACGAACCACCCTCTCTCAGCCACCTCACAGTTGCACACTAGACAAACACTTTTGTTTTTGGGCTGTGAAAATGAGAGGGATGAGYGAGGCGGTGTGGGAAATGGGTGAGTGTCACAATCCCACAGTTGGCGTGTTTAATGAATAAGGTGAGCACTCCCTGACTTTATGTGGAGCGTCGTGCATTGAACGTGCTTCTCAGCGCACGTTTTGACAGGGTGRTAGTAGTTTCAGACGTCTCATTCATGCTGACATTTGTAAATCGGTKATGGTGATGTAGGTCCATTATGTAATTATCAGCGTTTCGCTGGAAGCTCGTGATGCAATTTGAATTTTGACATCCTAATTTGGATTCTGTCAGCGGCAGCTGCTCCTGCTGCGCGCCTAAAACTTTGCCGTGTTGTCCGCTGGAGTGAACTAACCAACCTCCACAAAGGAGTGCACGCTGCACACGTAAACAAGCCAACAGGTGATGCAACAGCTGCCCATCCGTCAGTCCTGTCACTAATAATAATCAATCAGGAGGAGCTGGTTGTGTAGGTTTACTGACGAGTCACRTGGCGCAGGACATCACCACACCTGGAGCAACGAATTAACTTGTTTACTTCTGTCGGCAACACAACACTGGTAAACTTTGCTCCAGTCTACAACAAAAACATGTGTGATACAGATCTGTGCCTAAGTCTTGAGTCATCTTTTTTTTTCTGTTTTCCTTTAAACTTTAAATTGTCTTGAAGGCCTTATTATGAAACACAGAGTCATTCAAGCATAAAAAAGTGTCTAAACATAAAAACTGAACCAGTAATATTTGATGAAAGAACACAATTTAGTAAAGTGTTTTAATTGTCGCTCTTTAAATGTTAAACGCCTTATTAATAATAATAATAATGAATTTAATTTGTACTGCACTTTTCATTAACAAAAATCTCAAAGTGATACAAAGAGAAAGCAAAAATAACTCTGTTAAAAGTAATTAAAACCAATGGTAAAATCACACAGAGGAATAATAAGCTTGATTAAAAGGAAAAGTCTTCAAGCCTTTTTTTAAAGTCAGCCAAYGACTTGTTGATAACAACTGATAAATCAGTGACAAATGCACATTTAGCTGAAGATGGTCAGTTGAGAAAACTTAATAGAAGTGAAGAAACAGCCTAAAACCTGAAACTATTGCTTAAATCTTTAAACAAAACTCTGATTACTTAGAGACAAAACCTGAAAAACGCGAATGACTTGGAGACTTTCTTTAATATGAGGTCTATTTCACCAAATAGCAAAGAGGCTTATTTATTAACCCTACTTTTGAGTTTGAGGTAATGAATGTCCTCTGTAGTGATGGTGCATGTAGTGATTGATGCACCCCCCCACCCCCCACCCCATCAGTCTGTTAAAGAGAACCGCCTGGGGTTCACTGATGATTTGAAGCTGTACATCTCAGGTGACATTCCTCCTTGCCAGGCGTAATTGTACAACGCAGGACTTCAACGTACACCTAAACCTGCCTGGAGCATCGACCGTCAGATAAGGAGTTCAAACGTAAAGGGGGGTCCCTTTAAGCTCTGATCTGACAAATAACTGCCTGACTTTATGAGAGGCAGAGCTTTAAATATGTCTAACAGCATTTATGCAGCACTTAATATTTATATAGTACATGGATCAAAGAGCAGGTGCAGTTTTGGTACAGTCAGAACATAAAGTGATCATCTACTYACCTGTTGTTTTTAGTACATAATCTTCTGATTTCAGTTTTAAACAAAGTTAAACCAACACCGTGTAAAAGGTCATGCAGAAACCAAAAACTCCATCACTAATCGATGAAATCTTACCGTCCAGGTGGCAGACTTTGCTGTGCTGGACTGCTGGAAGGACACGTCGAACGTATGGGGTCCGGCATAATCTGTGTTGGATGGGATGGCGGGCGATGGGGAGAGGGCATCGAAGGTGGAGCTGGGCTGGGCGTAGGGCGACGGGGCCGTCACGTTGTTCTGAGCGTGCTCGTTGTTGTAGGGGCTGGTGGAGGTCGAGCCGGTGTTCTGCTCTATGCTGTTCAGGAGTCCCAGGTTTGTGTACTGAGACTGAGGACCAGAGGAAGGGAAGGACGGAGAAGACAACAGAGACGAGTTTAGACAGTGGTGGGCTTGGTTCTGCTGATCACCTAACAGCAGAACAGTTTTACGTTAGTGGGTTAGCTTTCTCACTAACTTTGAAAACTGTTAGCAGACCAATTAGCTACAGCTAAACTGGGTTTGGCCAACTTTAAGTCTGCTAACAGCTAACTAGAGCAGAAGTAAATATGTAGTAGTCATAAAGAGGTAGATATCAGTGGTGGGCGTGGTTCTGCTAATAGAGGGACAATTTTTTTGCTTAGCAGATTAGCTTTTTCACGAATTTTGAAAACCACAAGCAGACCAATCAGTGTCACACTAAGTTGGGTTTTGCAAACTTTAAGCATGCTAACAGCTACCTAACGAGCTAACATCAACACGTTTGTGTCAGTCCCACCAGTCCTCAGCTGGAATCAGACAAGGACCTGGCACAGCCTGAGAGAGAGAGAGAGTCGTCTTAGCGGTTAGCAATTAGCTGTTAGTGTTGGCTTCTGCTAAAAGACCACGTTATAGTCAGAAAACATTTACAAATGTGCATGTGYGAAGTGACAGAGATTTTTAATCCTGCAATAAAACCACTGAGGTAAAAAAAATAAACTCTGAAGTTGTTATGGAAAGGCCACAAGAATCAAAAAAATTCAACAGGTAAATTACAGATTTAATGCATTTTCTATAAATTTATTCTTGTTAAACTTCCCTTCAAAACCACAGATGAGATTTTTCATAAAGATTATTTTTTTGTTTTATATCTGCTTTTTGAGCTTGTGGGTATACTCTTAACTATGAAATGGTTTATTTTTACTTGTTTAGCTGTTTAGGATTAGCTTCCTCTAATTYATTTTTACATGTTTAGTGTTAGCAAATCTGTACTTTTAAGCTAACTTTCTGGTTAACCACTGTATTTGGAGTTTAATGTTCCTTTGATTAGACACAAAACAGTGTTTAAGGTAATGATAAGCACTATTACTCTTCATCACATAAAGTTACTTGTGGTGGACATTTAGGCACAAGTGTTTGTTGTTGTTGTGATTGTAAAAAAATCTCTCAGAGACAGTTTTATTTCCAACAGGAGAAATCTAAAATGTAAAATCAAATAAAAAACGAACTCAACAAAATTAGCTTTTTTTCCCAGCGTTGTCTGATCTATTATCAAAACTCCTCAGACAAGGAGCCCAGGACTCTTTAAACAGGATGGAAAGGATGTGAGGGTCAGAGCCAGGCCCTTCTTTGCCCACTCCGCTGGCCCATTCACCTCATTCCTTTCCATTTATAAACGCCACATTCCTGGACGAGGTGCCGTGTCTCTCACTCTTGAGGACGGTCATTAATCTCTCCGGGGCCTCTTGTTTATTTCAAGCACGGCTGACCACAGCTGTCCGCCTCACACCCAGCGCTTCYACCAGGTGTTGCACCAGGTGACCCAACCGCGAGTGGCAGGAAGCCGTGGTTTATACAGCTCCTAGTCGAGSCGGTGACTTACGAGCGAATAATGTGGCAATATTAGTCATTGATCCACACAAACAAGACCCAGACAGGCTCGCGCAGTCAGAGGACACACCTGAGAGCGGTCACCTGAGTCAACCTCAGCGTAAAACAACGCCACAGGGTAGCTCACTGTTTGGATGAGGGTCACTGTGAGCTATTCAGACCAAAAACAAAAGATRACAGAAGCTTTTTAAGGAGACGATGGCGCTGGGTGTGCAGGTGTTGGGAGATCCTGCAGGCTTTTGGTGAACCAACCAAACAACTACTGCTTTAAAAAGCTCATAAACGCTAATAAAACTTTATTAGTCATAGCAGARGAAAAAGGTTGACAAATACAGCTGGATTTTCAAGGGTGTCCTAATTTCTTGGCTGGGAAGAGTATTCCCGTATGTGAGAGTGACTGGCGATGATATCAGAGCGCTTCCTTTGAACTGTGGTGCAATTCTACTGAGGCGCTCAGGCAGCCAGATGACACAACCACCCCCAGCACCTGATGCAGGCGGCTGCCACGGTGGAGGTGACAGGCACCAATTATCAATGCCAAGTTATTATTCTAAAGAAAAGCTGGATGCTGGCCGGAGACCAAACATAGATAAAAGCAGAGTGCCTGCCTGGCACGGCTCGTCACGGTCCGAATGAATCCAAGGATCAAAGATGAGAATCGGAGGAGCAAAGCTGTAATTGACCAGCAAAGCAAAGCTGCGCTTCATCACGTTTTAATGTTTAATTGACTGGAAGTGGGATATCAGCTTTTCCAAACGGGTTGTTTTTCTCCACTTCCTTCAATCAGATCTTATTCCACTATAATACAGTAACTGTTTAATAACCACTTCAGCAGCTTTAAAAAATTCTTTCTGTTTATAGGCGGTGTTGTGTTTTGGCCTTTGGGCTGTTGCACAGCAGAGCAGTAAATCCTCTGGAGCCTTTCAATAAAGCCGTGCTGCCCGCCGATGCTGATCAGACCCGTTTCAGACCACCCTGAAAACGATTCTGTTGACCTTTACGTCGATCAGCCGTTCACACCAACGCTGGGAYCTGAATTTATCCACAACACGTATCAGAAATATCTGGAATGCACCGCGGCACTGATTTAGAAGTCACTGACAGGGCCAGCACTTCGGCATTTGGCGTGGTGCTGCGCCTCGTCTTGTATTTATCGATAAGTTAATGGCCGAGTGGAGGAGTTTAACACGTGTGAGTGAACTCTATCTGACTTGCAGAGAAATAACTCGGACCGGTCCAGGGTCACACCCTGGCCCGGGAGATGGGCGGGTAAAGAAAAGTGGTCAGAAACAGAACATCTACCAGGAAACTGCAGTGATTTCAACTCTCTGAATTGYACCAAAACCTCAGCTCACTCTCCTCCTCCTGCTCCGTTTATTGAACCAGCGCTGGCCGTACGACCTGTTGGATAATGAAGATCCTACAGGACCTGGAGCAGATCTGGCCTGAGGGGGAGGAATAGCTCCCATTCCTGCCCTTCTGATGCTCTGTGTTCCAAGGGCCAACATCTAAGGAGCATGTAGGGGACGGTGATGAGTGACCACAGGGGTAGGAGGCATTAAAGGCTCAACAGGGTGGTGGGTGGTGCTGTTTGGGTGGGGGGGTGGGGGRGGCATATACCTGCTGGGGTGGGCAGAGCAGGTGATTGTATCTACATCAACATACCATTAAAGCAATTAGGACCCCGCACCAAACAGCAACGCCTGCTCAGCCCMCCATTCTTACGGCTGCAGCGGCTCCCTGAAGACTGGGGCGGGGGGGAGAGGAGGCAACCTGATACCTCACACACTGAAGGGACTGAGCTGGACACCACTTAAAGCCCCCCCAACAACTCCCCCAACCCAACTTAAAAGACAGAGACCTGACACACCTGTTATCTGCGACCTGCAATCTGAAAAWCCATCAGTCGCTCGATGTCTGTGTGGGACAGAGTTAAACTGGTGAAAGAAAGAAATCAGCGCGAAACGAAGGAGGGCCTTAAAACTGGAAACTAAAAGTTTAATTTCCTTTTAGGATGTTCCTTTTTTTTAAAACAAACTTGAACCATTAGAGGAAAGTGACTGAGAAGCAGATAAACCTGATAACTTTTTAAAAAGAGCTTTTTTACATTCCTTRCAAAAACTTTTTAGTCATTACGGCCTAAAAATAAACCTGAATCTCAATATTTTTTAAGTTAATTAAATCGTTAAAAACACTGATAACTCATGGAAAAWCAGTCCACAAGAATGAAAACAACACAACCACCTTATTGGCGGCATGTTTCTCTCTGCCGCATCTTCGTGTTTTTCCGTTCACAAGATAAACTGTTCAACACAGAAAACCAAAAACTTTTTAAAAACTTTTTTTTCTCTAAAAACAGCGAAACAATCGACTGAACAAGGAGCCAGATAAAAAAAATAAATCACATCCACTGACTCTGAGCCAGACAGCAGCCATTTCACAACAGGAACATATTCTGATTTCCAGGTGTTTACATTCCCTGCTTTGTTGACTGTTACACACACTGACACACAATCACACACACACACCCAGCTGTGCACAAAAACACACACTGTCGCGGTTTAAAAGAAAATACAACTGAACAATTCTCTATAATCAAATTTGCTTTGGATAGTTGTTACTCTATTTTAAATCAATGCTTATATATATATATATA